ACAATGGCTTCAAGGCAAGAAGTCCAGCAAAGCAACAAGGCAATGAGTCCACAAAGTAAAGGAACAAGGCAATGATAAGGCAAGAAGTCTAGTGAACTCCAGACATTGGCAATAGAACACAAAACTCCATGAATTCAGCACTTGTTCCCACAATGCTCCTTAAGTCTCAGGTGTGCCTTATAAAGAGAAATGGGGCATTCTCCTCCTGAGTCGTTGGGTCAGTCTGCGCTGTTCCCACCTCCTCTCCACTCTCCATGCTTGGGAATCAGGAGGGGGTGGTCCTTGCTCATTGCCTCAGCTCCGTCTCTCCTCATCTCCATTGCCTGCCCTCTCTTCCCCCCTTTCTTGGATGTCCTGCCCCTGTTCTTCCCTGCTGGCAAGCCACCCCAAGCCTGAGGGACCCGGGGTTGCCTTGTCCTCCTCTTCCCTGCATTCAGGCAAAGCCAACAAGGCTGCCCCCCCGACCTCTGTTGGCCCCAGCTCTGGCTTCTCCTCCTCCATGGATTCAGGCTCCGAAGGGGCCATGATACCTGCTTTAAGGATGTGTCCTGCTTACTCTCACTCTCTGGACATTACTAAGAAGAATTCTTTAAACAAATCTTGAGCTTATTTTGATTACTTTCCCTTTAATTCGTGTTTATGTTACTTGTAAAGTGTCTTGACCCAATTTGCGTCCTGAAACATGAGATATTAATAATTATAATAAACCGAGAAATACCACAGTTTAAATCTGTTCCATCACTCAATCTTCTGAGACCTATTCAGGACTTCCTACAAACAAGCTGTCCTACCCTTTCAGCTGCCTTTCATAAGGGGAAAAATGCATACTTTTAAGGACATTAACTGCTTGCATTTTATAGAAATTCCAAATTTTCATTTTAACAAAAGTAGAACCAAGAACCAATGTTACTTTATGGCTTTCATGGTGATAGGTTTAGTTCTTTTCTCTTTTGTTCCCACCAGCAAGCCAATTCCGACATGGTAGACTTTCATCTATTAACATTTCTGAGATAAAGAAATAAAAAATACATAGCTGCTGGGGGCGGGGATTCTATGCTTCATAGAAACTGAGAATGATGAACAGAGATGTGAATATCAATGAGAAGACAACTTCTTTTATTATCAGACTTTAGTTAATGAAGAAATGGGAACATGCTGGAGACTTCCTATTAGCCTTTCCATCTCCAGGCTCCCTTTTCCTAGTATAGGAAAATAGTGAAAGCTGCAGGACTGATGAAGCCTAATCCTCTCACTGTTTTGAGCTGTTATTAAGCAGATTAGAAAGGGAAGGCATAGGATAGGCTGGAATTAGGAATCTAGATTAGCTTTAGGGCACAGCAGTGGTGGGTTCCGGATCCCATTCCAACTGCTANTACTGTACTTTCTAGATACACAGTTCTTTATTTGTACCTGGCTGTGCTCTCCACACTTCATCCTGAACTTTTATTGGAATCTTAAGGGTACAAGCACACATCCTTTGGTGCTATTAAACCTCTTTGTAGTTTTCACTGTTATTAACCAAGATCGTGTGGTTGAAGCACCACATTTTTTTAGGCATGATGTCCATAAAAATCAGGTGGAGTTTTGATCATTTTATCCTAGCCATGTCTTGATTTTTTAACTATGTATTCTGGACACCCCTAATATATGATTTCATTCATATGAAAAGTCAACCGGCAGAAGCATCAACACTGTGTAACTACATTGTATAAATTTTAGACTAAGAGATACTAGTTTAAAAATCACTAATTAACCCAGTCTCTGATATAGAATAAAAGCTGCAGTGGTATCCTCTAAGAATTTCTAGCACCTCAAACCAATTTTGAAAGTCTCGATATTTTATTTAACCCATCCATCCATAAGGGAACAATATGGATCTAGTTCAGAACAAACAAGAAAGGAGGAAAGATATAAGTAAGAAAAAATAGGCAACGAAGAGAGAAGTAGTCCAGATTCAATCAAAACCTTCAAATGGTTGGGGAGGAGGGGAACGGATGGCAAGTCACACTTGTCTTTCCCCTGACCATTTTTGTTCCCCACTTACATATATTATGATTCATTTTACAAATCAATTATGCAAGATTTTAAGATGAGTTTTAATTCAGAATTAATTGAGTTATATGCGTGTAGGTGTTGGGCTTTGGCACCTACAAAATCTGTAAAAGCTAATGTTTCCTGAAGGATTTATTTGCTTAAATTTTGGTATATAGTCAGTCTTATCTATCAGGTCAATTTGTTATTTCCTCTACACAAAGAAATAAAATTCAGCTTTCCCATATGTTTCCATATATTATTTATGATCCAAAAAGGTGAACTTGCATCAGAGAACTCTTTAGGGAATACAATAACATCTTGTGCCGTTGAAGGAAAAAATTCTCTTTTGGTTCTGAATATCTAACAGGAGTAGCAAACAAACTTCTTTTTTGCTCTGTTACCGTTAGCTAGCTAAAAAGAGAAAAGAATAAAAAGGTATTGTTTTCTCTGGGGCTGACATGAATGTTGGTTTTTTTTTTATTTTAAATCTTACACTTCCCAGCATACTGCCACCACCTTGAGACATTTCTAATGTATTCCAAAGCCTCATTGTTCTTTTAATGCATTGTGTTTTAAAGTATTCTACATTGTTTTGACTTATTTTTAGCAGATAGTAAAACAAAATTCTGATTACTTTTACTAATAGTTCTAATTTTTCCTTAAATCTAAATTAGTTTTTTCTTCCAAAATATTGTTTAAATTATAACTCATGCAATGTTTTTTTAAAAATGTTTGACTGTTCCTAGCATTCTCATACCTCCATCTAACATGGATTTACCACTGATTTTTTTTATCATAGCTCCTGCGTTCTTTTTGTCTATTTAAATTGTCTAGTTTGCTTCAGTACTGTTT